GTACTGGTCATTTCTTAACTGATATTTTAAACAAGAATAGGGTGGTAAAAACAAAACAACTACTGAAGCGGTACGTACAGGGAGATCACAGATTGGCAGTGAAGAATTTTCCCATGGAAAGAGTGCGTGCTTCTATTGATAACTGGCCTCGGAGTTTAAAGGACTGTATTGCAGCGAATGGAGACCACTTCGAATAAGCTTTTTATATTTTTAATTGTTTTATATTTATGTATTAAACTAACACACTGTAATAGTAATAAATGTTATTTGCAATAGAAAAAAAAATATTTTTCTTTTTTTCAGTATTTATGGCAAGACTAGGTATATAGGGGAAGGTGGGGACCCTTCGTACGGTTTTCACATTTTATTTTTTAATTTTTTTATTTTTCCATGAATCAATCACCTGATAGCTTAAATTTATAGTCTAACTATCTGAGATTCAAATAAAAAAATGACAAATGATTTCATCCGATGTTTCAACCATAATTATGATTTAAACTAAATCTGGAAAACGTACGAATCTGCCCCATCAACGGGGCACCTTCGTACAGTGTTTGGGGTACCTTCTTACGCTGTGGGGTAGTTCAAAATTCATTTATTAGCAATGAAATTAAACACAAAAATAAAGATTTAATTTCTATTAAACAAAAATAAAATACTTTTCTTATGTAAAACAAAATTTAATTAGTTAGGTATCTTAAATTTAGAATTACATTTTTTACTCTTTGGTGTGGATTACAACTTCTTATTTTCGGGTGTGGCAGTATAAATTCGTGGTTTTCCTGGCCGTCATCGTCATTTTGCTTGTTTTATTACTTCTTACAGAATGCGAATAGGGTCGAAATGCCTCTGGTGTCAAAACTGACTTCGAAGGAACTACTATTTGATGGATTGGTAAATTATTCACAGCATCTGGTTCACAAGCATCAAAATCAACCTTAGTCAAGATGCCTTAACAGTAGTGTAATATGTAGAAAGTCGAAAACTTAATTTGTATGAAAAAGACAGTTCGCGTCGACAAATTATTATACAAATTTAGTTGTACAATTCGTACAAATGTGCCCCATCTAGTGCTGTCCGAATGTACCCCACTAACTGAATAACAACAAAATATAACTTATTTTAATATTAATAGGAAAACGTCATAAATTAAGTATTGGAGACGTATCTTAAGTATATTTTGCTAGTTACTGATAGAATACTCTACACGAAAACTTATTTTATCTACGGTAACAAGAGATAAAAACATAGATCAAAAAATTACTTACCGAGCGCGAAAACACGTCTATGCCTGTAACTTCACTCTCATCGGTGCGAATTTCACGAAACTTCGTTGATGTATAGTTGGTACCTCGACTCATGCACACATACAAAAGCAAGACTGTACTTTATTTCGTTCAAGTTTTATTTTGACTGTATGAATGTGCCCCGCGTACGAAGGGTAACGATCTTCCCCTAAATACATTTTTTTGTACAAATAGGTTAAAATTGCTATCGAAGTTTTATGTTTATGTTTGAATGTGCATTCCGTTTTTTGGCTTTTATATATAATGTAATTGTTTAGATATTTTATTAGTCGGAGCAATACTGATAAGCAAATAAACAAATATATAAGTTGGGCCGTTATGAAGAAAATATCAAATATAGTAAAATAATCCACATCAAACTGAACAATCATACAGTAAAGCGGCACATACAATATGTTACTTTGGCAAACAAAATTTTATTATTTTTATATACAAGTATATATTCTCGTAACTTAAAACGGCTGTGTAATCTATCTAACATTAGTTCACGATTTATTTTAAACCCTGCCACGCAAAGACCAAAGAGATCGTATAAAACGTTACTTTAAAGAATCCAATTTAACTCAACAACAATACGTGTGATAAATAACTGTTTTAATTAAACTCATAACATCTTATTGCTCTGTGCACATTGCTGTGCTCTGGACAAGCGAAACAGATTAAAAATATAAATTTAAAGTAAAGCACGGACGTTATTAGAAATTAAGGTTTTGTTCCACTACCATAATCAACTTCTTTTCCAATAAGCTTATTTATTAACTAACAATTATGCACAAAATACCAAAAGCTATAATATAAGAGACACACACAAACAATTAGACTGCAGTAGGTCGTGCAGTTAATTAGTTTTAAATTTAATTTATACAAAACCAGATAATATCTCATATCACATATTATGTACGGACAGAGCGAGCCACGAGTCCTTTTAAGTCAATTCTTTTATGGCAGTCTCTTACACCTAAACCATACATTTCAGTATTTTCATTCATATTGATTATTTGGCATATAGCACTTTATTACGAAAATAAAAAGTTTTGGATTATCAATTCAGACAATATCACTATCAAAAGAGTAAATATAAGTTCGCATTTAAAGAGTTTATAGCCACATCTATTCAATACAAAACAGCACAGCAATCAGCATGCCACCAGATCATTTTGAATTTTGCTATGGTACAGTGTACATGAAACATGCTTAAGCATGTCGAGCAAATAATACATACACGTCTTATTACGTATTCTCAAAATAGTTTTACAAAATGATTTGCATAAATACCAGTACTACTAATAAAATATTCTCTATAGTGCGAATAGATACATAAACATTTGGTACAAAAATTCACGATTCAATTAATAATAGTGTATGCTTCCATGAGTGTGATTTCTATCTTTAGCAAATCACAGGACATTTCCCCTCTGTTTAGTTATATAAACTGTGACAATACCAAAACTAATTAAGAGACAATATCTGTACCTCATTAATCAAGGCAGTCCATTAACGAACAAAAGAGTTGAACCGATCAATTTTGTATCCGAATCACTACGGAATTTCACTTCTTTTACTTACTCAAGTCCAACAAACTTTATTCATAAACTTTTTACTTCTCAATTGTCATCATTGCAAAATTTAATGCTTGATTAATGGTTTAAAACTCACTCAATGGGTCTAATGTGAATACTAATGAGTACTAATGTGAAACACATTACTGCGTTTGCATTGTTGTTTGTTTTTTGTAATTTTTTTTTAATTAAAAAAACGATTTTTTTTCTAGCTTTCAAAACCATGATCATCGGTTGATTGTACGTCAAATTCGTCAAAAGGTAAAGTCGTAATCAAGGAGGTAGTAAACTCTTTATTCGACTATATAAGAATACATTGTATTGTATTAATTAAAAATACTAATACGGCAAATGACCAAAACGTTATGTACACCAAACAACTTATTTGCAACTCATGAGGAATTTAATCATTTATATATCTATTTGAAATTTTATTTCTAGACAATATTTATTGTATCATTAATCCATTATTTTTTTTTATATATGTCTTTACTAAGACATCATGGAACATTACGCCAACTTTAAGACTAATAAATCTTAAGCGTGGCTAACCAAATTTACTAAAAAGGATATTTAACTTAAGAAAGTGTCTAACACTACTTACAGTCTCTATTAAAGGAAATACACTCTGTTCTTGTGTAATTTCATTAATTCATTAATAAAAAATTATAGTAATAGTTAATTAATTTTTTTTGGAAAGGTTTATGTTGGTATAGAGGAGAAAAAGAAAAACGTTTATATAAATACAGATTTATTTTACAAACTCATGAAAATGCCTAAAACAAAAATATTATATATATTTTTAATTAAATTTAATGGAATGTTGTTACCAGCTTCTATTTAATACATATTAATCACAAACCTTTGCTTCAACCATTCATAAATTCATTATAAGCAACGAAATATTTACAACTTAATTTTAACGTGTTATGGTCTAAGATCCCGATATACAACGACCTTCACCGAGATGCTTATTTAATGAAACGTATTTTATATTTAATTTAATATGTCAATAAATATAATCCATATGGGTTGACATATTAAATTAAATATAAAATACGTTTCATTAAATAAGCATCTCGGTGAAGGTCGTTGTATATCGGGATCTTATACTATTAGGAAATGTACAATATAATGTTTCAACTTTTAAATTTGGACTCTATTAAAAATTATTTACCCACACTTACTCCGCTGGTCTTACGACCCAAAATGTGTCTTGGCCTCCGAAACAGGAACTTCCAATATAGTAATAAATACTTCCTTAAGTAAATTGATATAGAGAAACAAATTCGTTTTTAGAGTTAACATAAAACGCTTTAAACTTACACGAAATATACTTAGGAACACTTTCCTGTTCTGTACGTACTATGCTACAAACAAAAAAATTCACACCCACAATTTTAACTTTATTTAGACACAATTCTTTCACAAAAACGTTGGTTTCCATATCAATCAATCAATCAAATTACGTTTATTCAATTTAGATGCTTATTAGAGCATGCTTAATGTCAACAACGTTTACAAAATTCACGAAAGAGCAAGACTACGCCATCCGTTCGCAAAACTACCAGGAGGCCTTGTTCTGAGAAGAACGGGCAAGAAACTCAGCAAGTTTTGCCCTCCCTTTACATTACAATTATTCAAAGGAAAATGTCATAAACCACAACGTCATTAAAGTTACATAAGTAAAAAAAATAAAAATCTGTTCTGTGATTTACCACATTCACCATTACACACATATTCATAACACTTCAAAGATAACCAATCAAATTATAAGAATATAATTAGAACTATTGCCAAGCGTTTTTATCTTCCAGGTAGTCATTGACTGTGTAGTAACCTTTACACATTAAGGTTTTTTTGATATGTGTTTTGAATCTGTTTAAAGGCAGTTCCAATACTTCACTAGGAATCATGTTATAGCAGCGTATACTTAGGCCCATAAATGAAGTATTTATTTTCTGCAACCTGTAAGACGGCTGGAAAAGTTTTCCCTTATTTCTTGTATTCCTATTGTGAATGTCGCTGTTCTTCAAAAGAGAACTAATATTACTACTACTACTAATACTAATACTACTACTATTATAAAACTGGTAACGAATACAGTTCACATTTTATAATTACCCCGTACCATCTACATAGTTTTAAGAACCATTTTCTTCTCAGTGGCTGTAAAATGTAATACCGCAGTAATTGCATTTAACATATGTTTTCGACCGGCGTCATCTGTGGACATGAGGTACGCTAACACAACATTCTTGAGGTATTCAAGATTAGCGCCCTCTCGCGATTGGATGCGACGTAATCTGAAAATAAATTACGAGAACTTTTATTTAAATATTACACAACACTCAAATAAAATCGCTTAAAAATGTGCAACATGGTGAATAGAACAGTGACCGAAAAAGAATATAAAATAACTATAGTATACCTTATTCAAAACAATAAAAATTACATTTTAATACAAAAGTGTGTATAGTATGTAAATATATTTTTATATTTAAATATTATTTGCGTGTGTTTGTAGTTCAACTCCTTCTAAGAGAGCGTTCAAGTATTACGTAACGAATTTTGGAGGGGGGTACTTTTGTAAAACGTTACGATGCGGGGCGGGGATTGAATTACGCGTTATTGTTAATATTATTTTCGACTTTCCAGTACTTCACATAATGGTAACTTTTAGGTACAAAGACTCACTGGCTGGTCACGGAACGTTTTACTATTGGGTACAGAAAAACGTTACGACGCGTTACATAGGGGGGGTGGGGGTCAATAATCTCCAAAATTGCGTGACGTAATACTTAAACGCTCCCTAAAAGGCGATTTTAAGTTTTTATTTATTTAAGTCGTGTGTACAGGACAACGTCTGTCGGGTCCGCTAGTTTAAAACATTACTGGTAGCAGACAAAAGGATTACTGATATTTCTTATTGTTTTTATATTGCAATTAATGACAAAACGTCCACAAATTTAATTCAAAAAGCATGTTTTCTTTATTGCAATGATTATTAAACAATTCTCAACCAATTCATAAAAAGTAAACTTAAATATTAAATTTTATACTGTCAATAATTTTGTCAAAATTAAAATTAAATCTTGCGAATTTATGTTAAACGACCCACATTTGCATCTAATTTGGTTTGAATGGATTTATAAACCATTAGTCGGTAAAATTAAGAACGTTCTTGTATGCACCATTTGCCGTCGTGTTGCGGACAAAAATGAAAACTAGATGGCGCTAGCTGTGTGCTAGAGATTGAAACCAAATATAATTAAAAGCTATTATTATAACTGGCCTTGTCATTTGCGACCAAGATACCATGTCTTAAATTTTTTAAATATATAGCAAACTGCCAACACAATGGACACAATTCGAAAGTATCTTTTTTTTAATTGCGTGTAAATTTTACTCTTTTATACCTGTCAATTTCCTCCTTTAGGGTCCTTATAACCTCCTTGAATCGTTCCTTGTCTATTGTCGCATCCCGTTGACACTCCCTATACTGCCCCTCGAGGTGATGTTTTTCACGCCGTAATTGGGTAATATCAAGGTCCTTACGGGCCAATTCGTGGGCGTAATGCAGCATGTGTGGTAAGGCGGTTTTATCCTGCTGGTAAAATTAAATTTTATTCATCTATACACTGAATATATAGTTGATTTTTATCGCTACCACCTCCATATATTTGAAATAAACAATAATCCATATTATTTAATATAGTCGAGTTACTAAATATTTGAGTGGAAGAAATTGAGAAATAAATAATAAGCGAAATATACGGGATCCATTTTATGAGACTTTGTGTAATCTATTCAACCAACAGATAAGTTATTTTTAATGTGTTCTTACAGTTAAAACATGGCCATCCTTAAATCCCTCCTCCGAGCTGACCTTCCTGGATCTGTCTCCTCTCGACCTGATCAAGTTGTCTGTCTCTTCTAGCAAAGTGGAGTATCGCTCACGTTGGGTCTGAACGTGCTTCTCGAGATTTTGTATGCGGTTACGCAGATCGGTTACTATCTCCGTGTGGTAGTCTTTTTCACTTTTTAATTTCTGATAAAATATAAATAAACATAATTAATAATAATAATATATAATATTATCATTAATACCAGAGGACCAACCAAACCAAGAGGACATAACCAAGTAAAAATGTGTAAAAATAATTTGACAACAAAAATGCTTTTTTTAATTCTAAATTTTGCATTAAAATTACATTGTAAAATGAATAAAATTTAAAATAAATCTACAATTAAAAGAATAAAAAAATAAAAAGTATTTCCCGTACCGGGAATCGAACCCGAGCCTCCTGGGTGAAAGCCAGGTATCCTAGCCACTAGACCATACGGGAGGTATTATCAATAACGAAATTGGAGTTTAGAATATTGCTTTTGTTTGTGATTGCATCTATGTAACATCAATGTATGTAGGCCTATTTTCGTTATCCAAAAAATCATAAAATCAGTTACAAATTTAAAAAGAGGAGTTTTAAACAAATTTCCTTAACGATAGGAAAAAATTTATTGTGAAAAATATTTTTCTATGCTATACTTTTCCTACAATTCAACAAGATTCACAGCTTGTTAATAATCACTTATTAAACGCGTTTTGTTCTGATCATTTTACGTTGTTTTAAGTGAAACTCTTTAATAAGCTATTAGATAAACAAAAACATAAAGAAATATTAAAAAAAACATTAAACTTAGCACAATCAAACTAATCGTTTGAGCTATAAGTATTAAACAAAATAACTTTCATAACAAACCTCTTCTTGCAACTTAAGTGAATCCATCTTATCCTGTTGTTCTTGCTCTAACATCAGCTGATATGTCTCTACCTTATCTTTTAATACAGCTATCTCACTTTTCAATGTTGCTATTTCACTCTCCTTATCCCCATTTACACTACTCTTCACACTTATTCTATAGTTTTCAAACTCTTTTCGTAATAATTCATAATCCTTTTTACATTTCGAGTGCACATGCTCAAATGCCTCAATATTTAAAACAGTAGTCAAATCTATGGGATTCCCTTGTTTATCGTTTTCAGCTATAAGTTCCTTTTTCAAAATGTGTATTTTGTCTATGAGTGTTTGTAAGTACTCTGTGTCTGCTAGCTTGTCGTTGTCTGTTTCGCTTATTGAAGAGTCATCTGTAAATATTAAGAAAAAATTATAAATCTGTCTAATCTGTTTAGACAGGTTTATATATATCTTTATTTTTCAAATTTGAAAAATAAAGAAAATTTATTTTCAGATTAAAGCTAACAATAACAGCTACTTACATTAAGTAAACTCCTTATTTTTAATGTTAAATTTAATTAAAATACATATATAAATAATTAATCATAATATATCGTTAACCGACATAGATAATAAAAAATGTGTGCGTGTACTAGGTGTACACACGTAAGAAGTGAAACTTATATAAAACCTTTGTTGTACGCAGAGCCATAATTGGTTTGTTTTAAGTTTAGAGGTCCGAAACTATTTCTTTAAAAACAGTAAATTTTGATACACTGCCTAGCATACAATTTACAAATTAATTGCTTCAAATTGCGATTAGCAAACTTCAAAGTCAAAAACATACTATATGTCATATTTTAACGCCGATAAAGAAGTTTGACTTCGAAAATGTAATCCGTTGTCAATCTTCAAAGTCAAAAACATACTATAATATGTCATATTTTAACGCCGATAAAGAAGTTTGACTTCAAAAAGCAACATGGCGCGTAATGGAAAAATGTGACGCGTAACGCAAAAATGTTACACTAAATTTTTTTCCAACCCCGATAAAGAAGTTTCACTTCAAAAAATGTTTTGACACATGTTAGGCTCTATGTCAATCTTAATCAGGCATACGATCGATCAGGGAATTGCTAAATGGTTAAGCAGAAGCTTTTCTAGGGAATCCAAAGGATCACTTTAGGCATTCTAATGAACGCAAGCATATCAACCAAGGAATTCATGCGCCCAATTCCTTCTTTATGTCTTTTACGGTACATTGAACGAAATGTATGGCATACCAAACGTTACGTTACGTTACGTACGTAATTTGATAGTCCTTTAACCTTTTAATCCTACATTTAATAACTTTGGGCACATCAAATAGTGTTATTTTATCTGATTCTATCGTAAGAACTGAGCAGTGTTAGCCTAGTGGCTTCAGCGTACGACTCTCATACTTAAGGTCGTAGGTTCGATTCCCGGCTGTGTACCAATGTCTATGTGCTCAATTTAACACTCGCTCGTACGGTGCAGAAAAACATCCTGAGGAAGCCATTGCCTTTGACCCAAAAAGTCGACGGAGTGTGTCAAACACAGGAAGCTGATCACCTACTTGCCTATTAGATTGTCAAATGTTCATGAAAGAGATACAGAAATCTGAAGCCCAGACCTAAAAAGGTTGTAGCACCAGCGGTTTTTTTGTTGTTGTAAGAACTTACCATCCAATCTACTAGTCATTCTCTCTAACAATCTCCCATTTACAGAGTCCCGGAGCTGTCGAATAGTCTGCTGGTCCCTTCGTCGTTGAAGATCGTATTCTCCTATTGTGTGTGAGAGTTCCGCAAGTTTTCCCTCTAAGAGAGCGACCCTCTCTTCCTGTCGAGCGCAGATTTTTCGTGCTGACTCCTCAGCGCGCTTAACTTTAATTTGCTCCTGGAATTGGAATTTAAAAATAACACCTTGTACTCGTCCCTTTTCTTTATAAGTTTAGCAATTGTTTCAAGGATGGACTATTTCTATTATAATTTTTTTGAAGTGAAACTTCTTTATCGAGGTTGGAAAAAAATTTAGTGTAACATTTTTTCGTTACGCGTCACATTTTTCGGTTACGCGCCATGTTGCTTTTTGAAGTCAAAGTTCTTTATCGGCGTTGGAATGAAACTTCTTTATCGACGTATGGGAGAAATTTTGTAGCAAATCGTCACGTTTTTCAATGATCGTAATAATTCTATTACAGTTAATGAAATTCTATAATAATCTTCGTAGTAATAAGGTAAAATGAAATATTTGTAATCATGTCCATGATAATAAAATCCTTTTGTTAAACTTTATCTAATTTAACGAATTTCTGTAAAGTTGCATATAGTAGATCATTTTTCGAAAAATAAGATCATAAAGAAGTTTCACTTCTTACGTGTGTACACGCACAATTTTTTTTTTTATCCTACAGTATTACTCTACTACCGATGGCTCAAAAACACGGTGTGGCTCTGGCGCTGGCATATTCTCTCTTGATCTCAACATCAACATACACCTATCCCTAGGCACACACGGCTCGATTTTTCAATGTGAATGTGTCGCAAGAATGTAAGTGCAGAAATGTGAAACATGGTGTAATGGTTGCAGCTCCTTGTGTAAAACAAAAAACTTGGCGATTAAGAGTGGCGGAGAGTTTATTGCCAGTTCTTCTCTTCCGTTCTACGCCCTTGATTTGAGAACTGGCAGTAGGTAAATGTAAAATTACAAGCATTTCATGTATATTTCATTTTTGACGTTCATAAGTGTACATTATGTTACCTATATGAATAAATGATTTTGACTTTGACTTGACTTGTCGTTAGGAAATAATAACTTCTGTATTAAGTTCGTATCCGACAGTGCGTCTGTACTCTGTGCTGATGGCGCAAGAAAATAAAAAGTCAAACAACATATTGATACTGGAGTGACACAATGCACTGGAAGCAATTAAACCCTGACAAATAGGAACGAACTATCAGCAATTATGCTGTCGATGAGTTTGCGAGGAGAGGCTCCGAAATGATGCCCGCTGGCCAGTATCCGCTCCTTCCCTTGCCCATCTCGCAATTCCGAATCTGGATTCGCTAAAGGTCTGCAGTACTCCAACATCAACGATGGTCTAAATCAAAATGGCTCTGCCAGCAGTTAGCCAGCTAGTGACAAAGCCTCAACAGAACTAATCTCAAAACAATTATATTATCTCCTTAATAAACATCTTTTTGTCCTAGGCGCGTAAGACAGCCCCATGTGTAGAGGCTGTTTCAGCAGGAATCAGTCACCCACGTAGTCCTGGAATGCTAGGCTGTGGCTAAACAACGTACAGAAACCCTCGGAGCAGTGAGGTCGCTTGAGGCCCTGCGATGCGCCCAGGAGACACGTGCTTCTGGAGCTAGGCTGGCGGAAACTGAGTCGACCAACCTTGAACCTCTATTACTCTACTGTTACCTCGTTTATGCAGAACATTGTAGTTATTACAAAAGTTACATTCAGCAGCAATTTTGCTTTGTCAGCATTAAAGCAGCAGCTTATATTTAATACTTTAGTAAAACCATACTTTGCAAAAAACGAAACACTTATTTTTTTCTCAACTGTATATAAGGAAACATTGAACGGAAGACGCAGGAATCTTTGGCATTGAACTGCTGATCGTATCATGAGAGCTCAGAATCGTATATAAATTTAAATTTGGAACTGTGTTTAAGGCCCTATCCCAGCACGAATCGCTGTGTCAGTGTCTCGGGGTGGACTGCGGTGCGCAGTGGAGAGCTGGAGCACTAAGGCACTCCGACCCGTATTAACAATTAGTTATGCAAAAGATTAAATTAATGTAATTTTATCATTATTTTTTTCTGAAATGAATTGCTTGGCTTGATAACTACTCAACTCCACCATATATTTTTTCCATTCGCCCTACTTCAAGAAATGATGACGAAAAATGGAAAGAAAGAATGTACTTTCTTGTAGTTTGGCGACCAGATAGGTCGTTAAGCTTGTGCCTAAGCTTTTTTGTCAAAGAAAATTGATCAACAAACACGGTTTTGGTGAAGCAGTTTTTTTTACTGGATAGATAGAATAAAAAATAAACTTAAATACCTCTCGTATTGCAACAGAGTGTGACTGTTCCAGTAACGTCAGTTTCTGCTGAAGTCGCACAAGAGACGCCGGCGTCTCACCAGAGCGAGACTCGGCTCGCGCCAAGCGACGTTGGTTCGCTTCCAAAGCACTACTCAAGTCACGAACTCGCTTTTCGAGCTCTGCTTGAGACGCTGAAATATATCATAAATTCATTTTGGACAAAAATATAGTTGACTCCAGAATGCACTAAAAAGTATTAAATAACAAAAAAAATATTTGTATTGATTGTGTGAAAAATTCAACATATAGTGTTAATCAGTTTATTTATATAAAAGTGGAATGAATATATTAGGCTATTTTATAGTAATCAGAATAAGTTAGACAAAACTAGGGCTTCCGAACTAGGCAAGTTGATGATTGTAATCAATCACACGGATTTTTGGCATGTAAGTTACAAAGGACCGAAGCCACTTGATCCTGATTGGTATAACACAATTTTTTAAGTGAATCTTAGGTCGCAGTTCCAGGAAATTTATTATAATTAGTTAATAATGATGATTGACAACCTGATTTAACTGAATTTATTTATTCAATAATGTAAATAAGTCATGAAAATAGCACTATTTTAGATGGTAATAAAATTAAATATAACCACCTTGTGACTCACTTGTGGTAACTACTTTATCTTCTAGTTTTTCTTTATATTTCCTTTCTTCATTGAATTTCAAATGAAGTTCTCTGAAAGTTGGTGAAATAATAGTCAGCTATATAATATTATTTATGTACTTTTGTTACGTTAAAAATAGCATTATCTTCAATCATTATCATTATATTGCAATTTCGATAACATAGGAGTATGTAAAACAGTTTTTAGATTTTTTGAAGTTATACTTCTTTAGACGCGTTATGAAAAATTGATGAGAGTGAAATTTTACGATGCACACGCACCGTGACACAAAATATGAAGTTGCCCACTAACAAATCCTTTTTAAACCAGCCGGGCGCCGAGCGTGCGCGATCGAGATGGGAATAAGACTATCTACAAGTAAAAAGAAATAGAATATGCGTGAAGTTAGCAGCTATGCCAAGAATTTTGAATGACCATAATGACCTTTGTAGAACCTTTTAAACAAATACAGGGGTTTTAATTATTTTTTCAAATAAATTTAGCAATGCTTTTTCACAATGACCTATTGTTACTTAGTTAAAGGGTTATGAAACATACCTAGTTATTAAATTGAATGAATAATATAATAATAAATAATAATATTAATTAATAATTGTATAATATAATAATAATAATAATAATAAGAAGTATAACTTCTTACGTGCGTACATAAGTATACGCACCATTTTTTTTTTATTAATGTTTGAGTCATCACTCACTGCGCTCATTGAGATAAAGTACTGATTTTCATACAACAGTAACATTTTTATTTTTACACACTTACTTCAACATTGCCAAATGGTCTGTCCTCTCTTTCTCCCGTTCTTGAATTTCATATGCAATTTTTGCTTTTAAATTACTAACTTCAGTTAGGTGTTGCTGTACTAATGTTTTTGTCTCTTCTCTCATGGATGCTATTATGTTTTCATACTGTAAAATTACAATATACAAGCAATTGAATATCTTCTGATATTTATTCCTAGCTGTAAACTGTTAAGGGGCACTAAAATTAATTACTAACCAAATGCTATGGAAATTTAATCATATTTTTAATATTTGTTCTCCATAAAATTGTTATTCAATGGAAAACACATTACTTTCAAATAAGCATACATAATGTAACAGTAGCCTTGCTACATATTCTTTAACTGCTTGTGGAATATTTTAGTATAGTAGTAGTATGGATTTTTCAAAATAGAAATCTCAAGCATTGAACATACTTAGATTGTTCTCCACGTTGAAACTGTCATGGGCCCTAACCTCTTACCACTCTCAGCTATTCCAAATCTCTAATAGCTATAATTAAACAATATGCCAGCCACAAACGTTGGAGATATGTACTAATGCAGAGATAAGTTCACTCCCGACTCCATAACACTTTAAACAATAATTTATGCAGAACAGAATCACTGAAAAGAATCAAAGCTAGTTTTTATGGTGAATCTGCACAAAGTCACCCAAGCCTTTACTAGTACTGTTCAAAATACCTTTTCCCGGGTAACTTTCTTATCAGACTGAAAAGCCTCTTCCATACGTGATTTCTCCGTAGTAAGTGTTGATAATGACAATGTAAGTGCCGCCACAGACTCATTTGTTGAAACTGGAATAGAAGTATCAATTAAATACACTACAATTTGTGTACCATATGTTCATCCTTTGTTAACCCACCCTTCTCAAAACATTCAATTGATGATGTATTTAATGTATTTGTGCATTTTGCTTTAAACACATTAATTGTGAGAATACTATTAAACATATAAAACTTTTATTTCAATTTCATGCCTTTTATTAGTGTAGAAAGAAATTATGTCTTGATTCTTTATCTAAAAATACCTTTAAAAAATGTACATACCATCATTATTATCAGATTTATTTAAAGCCTTTAGGCTTATTTCTAAAGCCTCTTTCTCTTTTACAAGACCTTTATATGCAGCAACAACATCTGGAAAGGTTGAAGAAACAGCTGTTATTCAGTCAGTGTATTCTAGAAATATTTTATTTTATATGGAAACTAAAAAAAATACTGAATATTGTAACTAGTAAATAACTTACCTCTAAGTCGGGTTTCATATCGTTTTATTTGATCAGCCTGTTTAGTTATTGTGGAAATCAATTCATTCTTTGATAACGACTCCATAATTTTTACTAAATATCGCAATTCGTTCAATTAACTGTTGAAGCCGTACGATACCTGACCTTAAACCATTTTCTTGTGTATAAAATGGTGTAATTAAAAGTATAAACAACTATTATCAATTAATATTATGCTTTAAAGTTTAAACTATTGAAGAGATGACAGATAACTACTAGGTTGAGTACTTTAATTTATAAGTATAACAGCTGACATTTGTCCACAGACTACTAAAAGAATGTAAGTGCACAGATATATAATATGACAGCAGTCTCTCGACTAACGGTTACTTAATTTTCTTTGAAGATTTTATGGCTTACTCATGGTACAAAAAGTTACAATATACGAAGTCGTCATGAATTTTATCAACTTTTAACTGATTTCAAAAATAATAATATAATAATACGTCGTGAGCGAGACGAAGGAAAAAGTATAAGTCTATGTCTGCGGCTTTATACAAACAATGGCGACAAATTGTAATATTTGAGTTTTTCACGGTTATTTGCTACGTCTCTTTTGGTTTGACTTAGACATATACGCCAGTCAAAAGCTTAAAATAAATTCTATAAAAAAATAGAACCAACTTCATGATAATTAAACATGTTAAACGATAAAATCATTTATATCCAGAGCATGATTATCCTATTAGGTTTATTTTGGATGTCGATGGCAAAAATCAATGTGCGTACATATAAATGTAATGACTGCAATTGTGAACCTCTTATTGGCACAGTAGGATCTTTATACCCCGTATACAAATAAGTAATCATTTAATACATTTAATTATCTTTATAATTCCAGACCAATGAATACAATTAATATATTTTGGCGTCGGTTCTTATGTTCTCAATAACTTCTACGATAATACTTGTAGAAGTTATTAGTAGTATTAGAGTACTGAGGTCCTTTACTATGATATAAGTCTATGTCATTCAATATCAATTTTATAAATCTTAATAAAAACTGTTCAGTCACCGCAGTATACCATTACGGTTTTTTGAGGATGGATTGATTTGATAGAGGGAAACAATCTAATAACTAACATATTTTATATACGTCCCGGGGATAAAGCGTTATTTGCCATCCACTATATTAGTACCTATACCTATTTACGATTTTAAAAGCATTTTCAATACTGTTTTTTTTAGTTTCTCCATTACAAGCACAAAATAAGGTCTAGTATATATAATATAATGAAGTGTTGAATTATAATGATGATTAAAAATGTTTTTAAGCATATCACTAGGGAAACGATCGTGAGACAACAAATCTGGCACATTGATCCTCCCCGTTGTATACGCAATGTATCAAGTTCAATGAACTCATGGGGTGAATTCACCCCTCGACAATCTTTCTTTAATAAAATTGGGCCGCCGAATATCATGTGTTATTTTCGCTTCTGAATTTTTGTAGCAGTCAAGAAATATTGTTATTATAAAATCAGTTTATGTAATATTAACTCTTTAAAATTATTAAATATTTAAGACATATGTAATTTCATTTGCTTTTGGCTAAGTTTTGGACTGAAATTAAATTAAAAAAAAAAAAGCGATCTATGTAAAACTACATACTTGATTTCGCGCTTTGATGCAAATTAGTACCTATCGTTCGAGTATATGAATTAAAAAAGGCCAAGGGCTACAAAATAAAAGAATATTTAAATACATTATTGCTAATGTCAATATTTAATGTCTATATCAATATTAATTTCTACATCAGATTACATTCGTTGACATTTCAATAATTAAGTAAGCCAATTAAAACCAACGCATTACATACCGACGATTTGTACTGTTACTTATTCTAGCTAACCTAGGCCAAACCTTACTGTACCCAAACCTGCCCGGAAATGAATTAAATAAATCTGGTTAAATATAAATAGTTAGAATACATAACACTAAGGTAAAAACACTAAAACAAAAATAATTAGCACAAAATACTAAATCAGAACGAAATTATAATTTGGACAGGTGTTAGGAGTCATCGATCGCCATTTGCAGAGCTTTCCCCGCAACCGTGCAAGCGAGTCTTAAAATCCATGATTACACCACAGAATTGAAATTCTATCTCATATGTTGAGGCAGTACTTGATAATGGAGCGAATACTTAAAATTTTAGGTGGGATATATTATAAGATATAATTTATTATGCGAGCAATTGTAGAAGTCGAATACAATCTTATTTTTTCAAGATTTAATTTAATTTAAATTTTTTTTCAAGATAAGCAATTAAATTTAGTTTTAAACCTTTTTTTTCTAAGGACTCTGTCATCAGGATACTTTTGAATCAAAGACTCGCTCGACGTAAACGATAACGATATCAAGGAAACCTGCCGACAGATCTTAATGTAATAATTAAATTCGACATTATCATAGATATTAATATAGCCTCGATAACAGTCTTTTAACGTCTTTTTGGGGCAGGCTTCCTTCTTAAGATTTTGAAACCTTGTAACTAAATGAGCCAGCATATAGTTCTACCCCGTCGGAATTTTTAACCCTACTACTTAGGTACATTTTTATCAGGTGGTAAGTATTAAAAGAGGACACAATGCATACAAATTACAAGCAAGGCTGTTATGAATTTTTTAGACTGTTTGTGTAATAGTAATGAATGATAAGAGAAGGTAAATGAAGGAATTTTATGATGCTAACTAAAATATGCAAGATCTCAATCAATTATAGTAATATGAAATTTCTTATAGACAGTTTCTTTACATAATATGATTCAGTATTCTTAAACAACAGAATGAAGGTTATCAACCTAAAAAATTCAAAACAGTTTCACAAACAAAACAGGTACAATTATTTAAACCTGTGACTAGTTTATACACACCATTCGTTCCTGTTTGTGTATTTTTTAGACTAATATTAAAGAAACACCACACCAACATAGTTTAAATTCAAATCCTAACCAAAGATTAAGTTACAGAACACAGAAATTCAACTAAGTAAATACTTAAGTTTAGATAGGTACTTAGATTAACCATTGCAAAAATTATATAACTGACTAGTTTCGTGTTGTTAAGTATTTAACTAAATAATAATCATAAATCTTAATGAAAAATTATCCCTATCAGTAGAACTTAAAAAAAATATGTAGTCCAAATGCATTTTACAAGCCCCACATAATATATTATGAGATAATTAGAACAGCTTTTTACTTAAAACTTATATTAATAAACCAAAATACCTATATGTGGCAGTTAGTTTGCAATGTTTTAAGTAAGTAACTTATTTTTACTATAAATCCAATTGGAATTATTGTAAAAATGGTTTATTAATATAAGATCTTTAAATACATTATGATATGCGTTCACATTTATCTATAATTTCTCTAAAAAGTGAAAGATACTACACACATGTATAGTCTGGATTAAATACAGTCACAAATTTATAACATCAAGTTGTTGAGTAAATTTATAAGAACTAATTTCAAACTTACACTTATGAGATATAATATTATGAAAAGAAATCTATTATAATAGATCTATCAACTAGAATAAATTATTAATTATACATTACTTAAATGTAATAATAAATAGTGATTATACAAATTAATAAGAGAGACAATATCATATGGATAATTTTCAATATGCATTAAAAGCCGAGGCTTCAGCTTGTGTACTATGCATTAAATTTTAAATTTAGTTAAATATTATGTATTGCTAATCAGTTTCTTCTGAAAAAGTATTCTATATTATAATCAATGTGATTTTTTTTCATTAATTTAGTCAATAGAAATTATTAATAAAATGTTGATCAATCATTAATACACTGATTGTCATGGTCTCCAAATTTCTTGATTTAGTCAAAGTCTCATTTGAAATGAAATGGCAAAATATTACTAGGTACTTTTTACAATTAAACAATTTTTTATTAGACCTTTATCTAATGATTTTGTGCATGAGTCAATTTCAAGACTATCATAAATACTTTTTATTAATTAGATATCTATAAACGGACAATCCCTACTGTTATAAAAAAGTTTAATGGAAGGTATTTTGCTAGCCATTATAAGTAAATTTTATCTAGCATTCTGTTGTCTTTGGTAATGGGTATGTAATTGAGATTTAATATATTACTTATGCTTTTAAATAGATATTGCCATATTTTGAATATAAATAAGTGTATAATTGCACATTATACATAATATATTTTTTGCGTCTGTATAAGTTTACTTATAGTAAAAATTTAATATTGCACTGTCAATTAGGTTTGTAAAAATAGAAAATATATTGCTTATATTTTGTGTCATTTCCATTAAAATCTTGGTAAATATAAACCTTAATTTAAATGTAAATAGGTTGATCTTGATCTATCAATGGTGTTTATTTTTTAAATTTTGATAAATTATGCCAGTATTAAATTACGAGTATTAAATTTTTACAGGAATTTGTTAGCAATCATTGGTTGAAAAGATTCATGATTAAATTTTCATGTCTTTTTTATATAACTCATTGTTATAAAGATACATATTGAGGTGATAAAGAAGGTGGTTTGTACATATTATTGTGAATACTGGTTAACTGTCATGTCATGATTTGTTACTTATCGCATAAGTACTATAGTAATTGAATATGTGACAACAAACCATGACAGTTATGATCAACATTTTTGCATTAGCTACAATTTATTGACTAGGTTTTGAAAACACTTAGGATTTACTCTTGTTCGTTTTGAAGCTGACCTGCAGTACTTGGCCATTAAGTGAATAACCATTCAGTGATTGAATTGCAACAACAGCCTCATCATAGTTGGTCATAGTAACAAAACCGTAACCTTTACATTTGTTGGTTGCTGGATCTCTGATGATTTTAACACTCTGTACTGCACCAAAGGGGCCAAAAAGCTGCCACAGGATGCTCTCCTCAGTGTCAGCACCAATGTTGTAAACGAAAATGCACCAGCCAGAACCACCTAGGGCATTACCTTGTATGAGAGGGTCAGCTAGGGGTGAGTATCTTTGAAGACCTTTATTAATAGCTAGCAAAGCCTTACCAGCAGGGCCAATGAAGCGACGAGCAGATGCAGGAGCCAGGTATGCTGCTAATGGAGCTAGTGCCTTGTTTTGATTGCTTGGATTGTTTGCACATTTAACAGTCATGGGCCCAGTTCCTCCAGGTGGAACAGTGCCATTTAGTTCACGAATAGCTGCTTCTGCTTCACACCTCTGGTCATATCGTATGAATGCAACTCCTCTTGAAGGTCCCTGTAAGCCTCCTTGATCTTCTAAGCCTGCTTGCATAAGATGGCCCACATTGACATTCTCATGGAGAATACGTGAGCTGATGATGGAACCATATGGACAGAACAGCTTTTCTAATTCTTGCTGTGTCATATGTTTGGGGAGTCCTGATACATACAAATTTGCTCCTTTGATAGCATCTGAGCTGGGACGGGCATAAGACACTTTTATGATCTTATTTTGCAAACGGAGACCATTTAAAGTGTTTACTGCTTTTTCAGCATCTTCAGCTTTGTGGTAATTCACAAATGCATAGCCTAAACTCTGGCCATTGAGGATGTGATCGGGAAACACCGTCACTTTGTCTCTGATCAGCTTGCAACTCTCTACTTCACCCACACTGGAGAACAATGACCTTATCTCTTCTTGAGTCATTGTTTGTGGTAAATAATTTACTATCAAGTTTGTCTTAGACTCATTGTGGCAGGGTTGTAACTTGCTACCATTTTGTGTGGGCTGATTGGAGTTTACCGTGTCCATCGAGTTGGCCATCATTTTAACAAAATTTCGTTTCACCAAAAACTGAGAAATTCACTTGTTTTAACAGTTTAATAGATTTATCATTAATAGTTGAGCAAGATCATTGATTAAACGGGCCAGGTATTAACTTAGGCTCGCGTTGGTTGAAAGCATATGCATGGAAAGAAAATCAATAAGATGCTGTCCACTCTCGTACTTATCCTGTTTTCGGCTGAATTGTGTTCGATCCGTTGAATCAAATTGTGGGAGTAAACACAAATTAACTCGAGTTTATTAGATCTTTTTAAGAATATCAAAGCAAAGTGAAAAGGAAATCAACCAAAAATCTATGCAACTCGCGACCTATTCTCGTAAATTCATTTCTTTCACTTCAATTTTTTGTAAATGTTGCCATTCGCTAATCGTGTGTTAAACTACAACCAATGATAAATTTTCCCAATCTCGTCTGTAGTCATAGGGTTACAAAACAGTGGAGTACAAGATTTCAAGAATTGAATTACTTAAACGAAATTGTGCTAAAATTGTTTTGGTTAATAAGTTAATCTTTAAAGTATAAAGTTTTCATTTAAATAATAAATTTATATAATTATACAAATAGTAAACCTCCAGATAAAATGTATCGTATTATTAATTATTTATAATTCAAGATTAGATTTTTTTATACAGTACTATTAGATTAAAAATAACAGAAATTATTTTATAGTATCTATAAAAGTAATTATTTTTATTTAATTTGACATACATGAAAATAATTTGCTCAAATTAAATGCGATATTTTTAGTATAGTAACATTTTACAGATACGCCAACATACAGAAATTATAGTAGTTACCAACATTAAGACATTTTTATTCGTTTAGAAACGTGAGTGGGTTTTTAAATGCATATTTTTATGTAAAAAAAACTATTACGTTAAAAACTGTTCTATTTATATATAAAATAAGTGATCATATTCTTATTTTCACTATAACTTTAATGCGATTTTCGACCTCTACTTAATATTTTAAAAACAAAACTGTTGAACTCAACTTGATATACTACTAAATTACACTAGGCTCGTAGAAAAGCTTTTTTATATTTATAAAACATGTTTTTGACTTTCGTCCTTCCTTTCTTCCTTTGCAAGATTCCTCGCCTTCCTTTAGGTATGAACTTATTAGTTAAATACACAATTTTTATTGCCTACGACAAAATAATAGCAAAGTAGTTGTTTAGCAATTTTACTTTGATAAAGCGGTAGACCGTATTTTTGCGCATACAATACCACGCTAGAAGAGCAGCCCTGCGATTCTGTAACTCACTTTTCGAACTCACACAGCGGTTTTCGCATCGGCGGTCGCTCTCAAATCAGTCGTTAAGCAGTCATTTTATGATTTGGCATTCTGATAAACAATAAACTACAAGCTCCCACCTTTTAAGTGAGTTACAACTTACAGAATCGCAGGGCTGTGACGATAAATACCTTAAATATACGTAGATCAATTATTATTGTTTTTTGGAATTATGATATATATGAAACCTCAAATCAAATCTTTATTTTTTTTGTTAAGACATTTTTTTTGTCGGAATCGATTCATTAAAATTGTTTAAACTTACGGCCTCGATAGACGAAACTAAATAGGAGTCTGGACTTAAGATTAATTCATTAATATATCATACTCAATAGGTGACTTTATTTATATATTTCACGAAGTCCGAATTTTGTGATATCAATGCAAAATATTGGCTACAGATTTATTATTTTATCGGAAGGCTGCAAGTTACTATTATCTATTACGTAGGTATCAAATATTGATACTGATTATTTATAAACAATGGTAGGCAGCGGATGTTCCTCTAACAACGTCCCTTCGTAACATTACGCAAATCGCAATATAACTACTACTGACTCATTCAATCCAAAGGAAGGGCTCAAATTAAGCGCGTAAGAGATAGTTTAATAATTGATATATAAAATACAGGCATGCTAAAGCAATAATGTCACCAGGTATGTCCATAACACCGTATTATTAATACGTAAAAGTAATATATTTATTTGTAGATTTTTCAGTGTTAGTCGCTGAACTGCTCGCTGTTCACGCTTGTTGCTTGATATGACGTTCACGTTTCGCTCGCACGTTATGCTTTTTTCTTAAACTATATTACTTCAATTATATTTGTTTGATGATGACGCCATTTTCAAATTCGGGTGGCGCTGTCCAGTCACGCTTGTTGCACAGTATTCAATATGATTCCCGACCCCTGTACGCTAAAGAATATATTTTGGCCGTATTTGTTGAGTGTTATGCCTGTAACTTGAACCACCATTGTTGGTAGTAACGGGTCGATGTCAGTGCATTTAGTACACGCGCACTTAAGCCGCTTTGTGAAACAAAGTGAACGATTAGTAATATTATATTGAGTAACTTAAATATAGGTTGAGTGCATAAGTTAAACATGTATCTGTGTCAATTTAAGAGATATTCTATGATGAAACCTACGATTTAAAATGTCAAATCATATACAAAATGTTATTGGGGGTCATTAATAATGTCTACTTAACTAATAGCCAAGGAGCTATATTAAATTGGGGTTCAAGTTTTTTCACAAACCTATATTTTTTGGTTAATTTTTTTTATTCACACAAGTTATGTTACCAGTAAACTTCAATAGGAAAAATAGTATATAATAAAATTTATAATACTTCTAGAAGTCTTTTTTGGGCGATAGAAATTATTAATTCATAAGAAGTGTTCATTTTGAGATATTTTTTTTTTTAAATGCTAATTACAGATTTAATGTCCAACAGGAAATAAAGTCAGTTTACAACAGGTTATTTCGTAAGAAGCTACATTGTTTACATGCGTCATAAGTCATGCATTGTTGACAATAATGATTTGTATGAAAGCGTCAGAATAATTCCATTGTTTGTTAGGTTTCTATGTTCTTGAACTTAGAAATAGCGCTATATATTTTACGATTCAGGTGTTTGCTTATTTTCAATAACAAAAAAAAAAAAAATTAAAGAGAGAAGTACAGTTATGAAATGCTTTCATTTTAGTACTAACTTCATTGAAAAATAAACGAATCAAAGTTTCAAAAGGATTTTAATTACATTTCCTTAAACAGCCGTTAGGTATGTACTTCTGACACTTCTCATTCCGTTGATCGCTTGACCGCGTAAAAATAATCACTTCTTTTCTCAACCTCAATAATTAATTATTATTTATGACATTTTAAAATTCGTCGTTAAAACTTTAAACTTTATCGAAATGGGTTGGCTGGAACAAGTCTCTGTATTGTGTAGTTTTCAACTTCTAAAGCAATCGATTTTGATGCTGAATATACCTACCATTATTGGATTTATAAGTGAAGAAACTGTAAGCCTTTCTAAAACTCAAAGATACAAAGATTTTTTATTAATAGCCAGTAATACAGTTGACGACAGATCTTCAGTAAGTCACAGTCAACATTTTTAGTTATTTCAGTGCGGGCTCGATTCCTTTGTTCTTCGATGTATGAGTTATGACTACCATTCTGCATTGTTCCCCTTTAGGCCGAGACAAGCACTTGTTATATTTTTTTCTTTTTCAATGCATATACGGGTAACTTGTTTTCATATGACAAGAGTTACTTTTGTCTAGTGTTATTTATATCTCCATATATATGAAGCCTCCTTGAGTGCAACCCCGTTAGTATATGTTAGATGAAGATTCCGGAAAATACAGATTATATTAACGAGGTTTTTCAATATCCCAATCCCTAAAACAGTAACTTGATTACATCACAAGTCAAAATTCAAATTGCAATATAATAGCGAGATAGAGGTCCAAAAAGGTCGGATTACTGTGATGACCATAATAAAAAAAATATCGCAGTCCAGTATAAAGTGGTATATTAGTCTGTTAGCTACATACCAATTGGAGCTAACTGATACTAAAGCATGCTAACAAGGAGCAATTGCTCCAATTGGTGTCAGCGGCCGCGATTCAATACGATGGTCGATGCATTCTTTATAGAAGGTACGTGCCACATTTGTGATTTATGGTCAAAGTATGCATATATTGCACTTAAGGTTATTATAGGCATGGATATATTTTATAATTATATTAAAGGTTACGTATTTATCCAGTTTCAGATATAAATTGGGGCTGTAATCGTGAATTTGTTAGGCTTTTAATTTATGTTGATCGTGTTAAATTTCTTAATGTGCATACTTTTATTACTATATTTTTTAGCTAATTATAGTAATAGTTACGGATATTGAGAACCCATAGATGGAGCGCTTTATTGTTTACTTGAATATTGTAAAAAGTAACATTGCAGCCTTTTGTGGGCTTATATAAATAAACTTAGGTATATCGGAATACATATTAAAGTCATAGTCAAAAATAATTTATTCATATAGGTAACACAATGTACACTTATGAACGTCAAAAAATAAATATACATTAAATGCATCCAATTTTACATTTACTGCCAGTTCTCAAGGGCGTAGAACGGAAGAGACGAACTGGCAATACACTCTCCGCCACTCTTTTTAATCGCCAAGTTTTTTGTTTTACACAACGTGTACACAGCTGCAACCAATACACCATGTTTCATATGAAATCTTTAGTAATAAATAATAATAAAATAAATTAAAAACAAAGATTTGTCCTCTAACATCAAGGGCATGGTGAAATAGGAGCACTCACTTACATTCTCGTGGGAACAACACGCAAATACATAGTCAAAATAACTTACATCACCGCATACGAATTCAAGTACGACCAGTCACCACAAGTATGACGAGTATGACCCTATCACGAGTATGACGCATGGCCAGCCATCGGCCCCTTCGCCAGGGAGAGAGACAACCCGATGCATGGACGCCGCCACAAGCAATGACATTTAAGAGAGCATGACGATCCTTGAAACGTGAACTTTAGCCAAGTTAATAATAAAATAATAATAATACTAATTATACTTACTTAAATAATTTGATACCACATGGATCACGGTTTGTTCCCACTTTCCGTTAAAACAGTCGTAGAT